AAGTTGTTGACGACATTGATGCGTTCAACAACTATCCATGGGGCCAAAGATGCTACAAAGACACCGTACATGTCTTCACCAGATTACACTCGAGGCCCAAGGGTCAATGCGTAAATACGATACATATGGGTTGCCCTTAGCGGTGTAGGTAAATGTTTAATATAATTAAAGTTAAAGTTTTAGTATATTACATTTATGCATAATAAGTGTATGTGTTGCAGATTTGGGTTTATGAGACAATCCCTGCACTAGGAGCCCGCTTCGCGAAGAGAGGGAAGACACGATGCCCTCGGATGCATCATTGGAGATCGTCGCGAGCGGAAGGATGTCCCACTGGAAAACAGTTATCGGCCCTCCTCGACGATCCTCAGGTAAGTATTATGCATTTGTGATTTATATTATACATAGTTTAAATCCATTTACATGATCGTTAGCTAATTCAAATGTCAATATGTTAGCTTGAAGTCATACCTAAGTTGACGTCGTCGATGGAAAAGGAGGGTCGGGGTCTTGTGCGGGATGTAGGTGTCCGCACACCGAAGACGAGCAGATGTCTGATCCGAGTGTGGACCGAGATTGGGTATGTGAATTAAATATAATTTATTGAATATCGTCGACGTATGAATTTATTGAATAATTTTTAATGTTATTTATGTAGGAGGGCGGTCCAGCTGATCGACGATCACCTCCACCGAGGGTATCGCCGCCATCATTGGCATCACCTCCGCCGAGGGCATCACTGCCACCATTGGCATCGCCACCGCCGAGGGTATCTCCTTCTCCCTCGTCCAAACACGTCCCCCGTGTATCATTGACATACACTGATGATTTATATGCCCATCTGACTGGATTTATAGCGGAGGAGGTCGGCGCGCTATGACAAGAGTTGATGGAGAGGGTCGATGATCTGGGACGAGAGTTAACCAGGAGGGTCGACTATCTAAAGGAGAAGGTCGACTATCTGACAGAGAGGGTCGACGATATGGGACGAGAGTTGACAGGGAGGGTTGACGATCTATCCCATGATATTGGAATGCTACGGTCTTGCGTTGTCGACCTTCAAGATGCAGTAACGACACTTAGAGGAGATTTAGCCGCCAGGCGATGGGGGGGACAGAGGGGATGGTAGAGATGATCGAGAGGGTGGCAGATAGTGATGGAGAGGGGAGTCACCCACATTTTTGGCATGACGAGATATTAGAGTCATTCTGGTTGTCTATGGAGGGGGATAGGGTGGCCTCGATGGGGGACGACGGGGGGGAGGCACCGATGGGAGATGGCGACAGACGGGGAGGCCCTGATGGGAGGGGCGGAGGAGGTAGCGACAGAGGGGGAGGCCCCAATGGGGGGGACGGATGAGGTGACGACAGAGGAGATGACCTCGATGGGGGGACGGATGAGGTGACGATGGAGGAGGGGGCCCCGGAGGGCGAGAGGACGCCCATCGTGATTGAGGATAAGAGACATGCTGTTGATGAGACGGAGCAGGTGGTCGACAAGAGATTGAGAGTGCCGTCACAGTATGTTATTTCTCCCTTCACGGCTGAGACCAAGAAGAGGACGTTCATCGATGGGATGTACCCAAACTTATTCAGAGAGGTGGACAATGCCAAGTGGAAAGCATTCGAGACAGAGTGGAGGAGAATTATCCCCGAGTAAGTATTGTATGATTTTAATAAAGCACTGTACGCTAACTCGTCTATGCTTATTTTAACATTTCCCCGTTGTTTCAGAGCTACCCGCACGATAGGTAACCGGACGGTCTCGGACGCTTACAAGTGGTTCCACGATATCACGACTTCAGGAGCTTGGCTCGCCGACGATGTAAGTGAACTATTCATTTCGTGTTTTGTATGTATACGTCACTTTGTGTTTATTAAATGAATAACAAATAATTTTTTGGTGTTTCTTGATGCAACACATCGACCTCACCATGGACTTGCTGCGAGATCGAGTTTAAAGACATCCAAAATCATTTGACGTCCATGGTCGAGTCATATTAAACACCGAGTTCCTGCGTGCCGTTACCATAGAGTATCAGTCGCTCCAACTTATGGGTAACAAGTACACGGTGCCAGAATGTATGCTCGAGTGGGTCATAGGATTGTCGCCGAGTGTCGGGGGAAAATCATGGGAGGGTTGTACACATATGTACATTCCAGCGTGCATCAATAAGCACTATGTTACGCTGGAGATCGTTTTTACTAACACGACTATATATATGTACGACCCAGATCATTCATGTTTGACGCAAGGCCAGTTGGAGCAAAACTTGGAGTTCGTAGTTGTAATTGTTCCTATGATGGTCAGACAAGTGGGGATGACTGTACAGGACATATTGTAGATTGTTCGGAACACGACGACATTGCGACAGTCCGTAAGATAAGTGTTTGAACTTTGTTGTTTTCATCTTTCAGATTTAGTTTTTTAGCTACACAGTACTGAACTGATTCATTCTTATTCAATTATAGCGGCGACTGCAGCATATTTAAGTACGTTGAATTTTTAAATATAGGACATAAGGTTGATGGAATCAACCAATCGTGGATACAGAACTGGAGAAAGAAGTTAGCATGTGATTTGTTCGAATTTAATGGTGACCCGTAAATTTGTATTAGATATATATAACATTCGAATTGTAAATTTAATTATTTTTTGTGATTATGAAATAATTGTAAATTTGTGTTCGGTGTATATAACATTCACATTGTAAATGTAATTATTTTTTTTATTATGAAATAATTGTAAATTTGTGTTCAATGTATATAATTATTTTTCTGTAAGTTGATTTTTTATTATTTTACACATATACTGAGAATGGAACTAATTTTTCCATATAAATCATTGTAAATATCGTTTATCAAGAATAAATATAGAACATTGAACATTTATGAAGAACAAATATTGAACGTACCTGTCTAATTGTCATTTAGGGGAATTTGACTGGTACACAATTGTCGAGTATGTCCTATGGCTCTGCACCTGCCACACCTACGCGGTTGAAGAAACTCTCTGGTAGATGGTATTCTAGATGTATTTGGACGTCTAGGACCACGTGGTTCAATTGCTGGTGGCAGCAAATCATTAAACGGGAGAATGTGCTCTGGAATTTCCCAGTCTGTTTCATTCGACAGATGAAATACAGTCTCCGCATATGCTGTTCTCCAAGACTCAGTCGTATAATACAAAGAGCATAACTTTCTCGCTGTAAAGCCTCGATACATGGCCACCGCAACTGTATGCTCACATGAAAAACTCTCCAACTGAAATCTTGTACAAGTGCACGTGTTATCAGTCAAGTCCACCATATTATGCCGTATTACGTGCACATTGCACGGAGAAGCGGAACTCATCTAGTGCTTTCACATTCAACTTCCTCGCAACCTCTGCCGCTTTAAAGAGTTTCTCCTCTTGAGCTGGGGCCAGCACGCTACTGCAACTCTGTGATGCCGCACGTCGGTCATGAAACCACAGTTACAGCTTGTTATGAATGTTCTCAATCATTGCGAGAATTGGTAACTCTCGATCCTTTTTAAACAATGCATTGACAGACTCTGCGTTATTCGATGTCATCATGTTGTATCGACGTCCTGGAAAGTATGACCGCACCCAATGTTTCATCCCCATGTTCGTCAGATACTCCAACGCCGGTAATGATTTACTTCCGATCTCAAACATGAACTTATTACACTCTTTAGCACTGTAAGTTTCGGCCGCTCTCCTGAACAATGAAACGATGCCCTGCCCTGATACCTAGTTTTCAAATTACCTTGTATATGGTACATGCAATACTCGTGATGTGCCTCTGGAAAAATTTCAGCGATACCGTTTATTATAGACTATCCCCGATCGCTTACAAAGGCAAGGTCTTCGACTTCCCCGATCACTTCCCTCAATTTTGAAAAGAACCAACGCATGGATAAATCATTCTCGTTGTCGACTATGCCGAATGCAATAGCGTAAATTTGGATGTTAGCGTCTTGACATGTAGCGATAATTAATTTGCCTTGATATTTAGCTTTCAGAGTTGTACCATCAACTAGAATTACGGGTCGCGTTGCATTTTGAAAACCCCGAATACATTGTCCGAGAGCCATGAAGAAATACTTAAAACAATTATCGCTCCCCGTCTCAATAAAAAATGTCGTGTCAGGATTAGTTCTCCCCTTGTTATGGCAATACCTGGCCAATTTAGCATAGCTCTCCTTAGTCGATCTCATTAAATCCTCCAACGCACATTCTTTGGCCTTCCAGGCTTTCTGGTAGCTCATGACCACTCCATACTCTTGATGAACGTCGTTACTGATGTCCGAAGGTCTATAGATCGTCCTTGGGTCCTGATATTTGTGCATTATCTATCGACCAATAAACCATGCTCGAGCTTGCCTGTGATCTTTTCGAAAAATTCCCACTTCGCAAGTATGTTCTCGTGAATACTTGCGAATTATGAAGCACTCATTCATGTCCATCTTAGTTGTTCTCAAGCGTCAATTGCAACTGCCTTCGATGCAGGCAACTGTCAACAATGACTTGTTTGATTTCTTTACCTTGAACTCAAAGTTATATTTTAATGTTAGCCGGTGCACAGCTTCCTGCAAATCTTTCTTGGTTTCAAACAGTTGCTCGATATATAAGTCCTCATAATCGAGAACCACACGGGAAGAATTGGAGGACGGTCCACTTGTTCCAACCTGTGAGCTCCCACCTGGCTCATATCTCTGTCAGGATAAAGCAATCAAATTCTCATTTGTAAACTCGTTTATATTCTCATTGTCTTCAACCGTCGACGAAATTCTGCACGTAACAGCGACATCACGATCAGAAGCAACTGTCTCAGAAATAACCACATCATCCGCAGGAACTATCTCCACTATCTCCCAAAAACCTCGATCATTGTTGTCCGCCCTATCTGAATCTTCGCATTCACCTTCGATAACATCTTTCGTAATTAAAGTCACACCAAGAACAGTCGGAGTCCGATGCATTTTATTTAATTCTAATAGATAATTCAATTCAGCATCATTAGTAACGAATACCGGTGGCATCGGAATGGATGAATCCCCATAACTGTTGAATAGATATCTCAATTGCATATCGTATTGAGATTAATCGACATTCAGCCTATTTTGCAAATTGTGGTACATTTCTAAGTATGGTGTACTCTCTGTTATGGGAATTGTAATACAACCACGTATGTCACTCGTTCATCTTCATTCCTACCGATTATTTTCATTCAATTCGAAATCACCGAAATAACAGACGGGGATTATCATATATGCATGAGGAAATGGATTTAATCAACTTCATTTATTAATTATAAGAAAAAATAATGCATTGCCAACAAAAATCAGTGCCAACAGTCGGCTGTCAACAGACAGTCAACTTAACAGCCGACTGTTGGCTGTTAAACAGTCGATAGTCACGTGATTGTTTGGCTGTTAAACAGCCAAACAGCCTACTTCTTTTCCATTTTTCGCATTACGTAGAAGAAAAAAATTATAGATCTGTTCAAATTTTTTTACATACGTTCGATCTGCTAAAAAAATTAATACTAACTATTAATATGTCGAAATAAATTTTCTCTATTCAAACGTATACTAATTTATTGAAAAAGAAATTAAACATGCGTAAATATACTTATCGATTTGAAGAAATTGATATGAAAAAAAATTTTGGTTTCGGCGTTTGAACGTTTTTTAAAATGTTGAGATTCAAGTAGATGAAAGATGAGAATTTTTCTGTCTTGGAAGCTTGTTTTGAAGTTTTATAAGTGGAAAAGTGTTTGGTTTTCAATTATTAACTAAAATGGTAGTAAAGTCTTTTCAACAATACATTGTTTTGTAATTGTATAATACATTTAAGGGCATTCTTATCTTTTAACTTTCAAGAGGTCAATGTGATAATATTCATGATTTTCAAAGTCATAGTGGAATTTCCTCCCTTTGACTGGGTCAAACTTAAAAGTACCACATATACACAGCTAATGAAAAACTTAATTGATTATTCATCTAATTCTTTTTACATAATATAGTTTATCCATTGTGAACAATATATAATCATTCTCTTTTTATACTATAATCTTCTAATCTATTTAGAAAACTCATATCTAAAAGTATATGAGGATTTATATCTATACTTTTATCTATATAACATGGTACTAAAAGATATATTCCTCTTATTTTTATTGGTACCTTAACTTTTAAATCTGTAACATGTACTTGTCCATCAAAATTTACATACTTATATAACTCAGTTTTATGAGTCATTAGACCTTTATTTTTAATTGACGTTATATGACGTTCATTAACTCCTGTATCTATTAATATATTTGGTCCATTTATATTTTCTCTTCCATTATAATATTCTCTTTCTATTTTCATGTTTCCAGCATTCATATATAGTTTTACTTCTTTTATTTTGTTGATTTCTTCTAACTTGTTTTTATTAGATATTTTAAAACTTTTTGATCTTTTAATTAATTTTTCATCATTAAATATGATATTATTAGAACATTCTCCTTCATTTAATTCTTTTATTTTAGGTTTATTTTTTGTTATACAAAATTCATATTTTTCGAGAATTAAGCTTATTTGTTTATTTGGTTCTATTATTTTACTAATATCTTTACATTCTTTATGAACTTCGATATATGGTTTATTGGAATAAATATTCTCATAATTAGAATTAGTAAATGTATATAAAGCTCTATATTCTATAGTCATAATTTGATCACCTGGTTGCATGATAGTTTAAAATGTAGTCCTAAAACCTCATTAAAATTTCTATCTTTTAGTGATACACAATATTTCAGATAACATGTAAACATAAATTTTTTATATGCTAAATTTCTTTCTGTTGTTACTAAATGACTATCTTTTAAATTTATTATTCTTCTATCATGTAAAGTTATGGTTAAGGGTGAATCTATTCCTACTCTAAATAGTGATTTAAACATTATTTTGTATTCCTGCTAAATAATTATATTGAATTTTTTCACTTTGTTTTTTACTGATCTTTGTTAATAGTTCTTTAACTGTATTTTTTGTTAAAAGATTTAATTTATGTTGCCCATAAGTTGTTCTTACATCTATGATTTTTTCTATTTTGTGATATTCATTTATTGTTATTCTTTCTCTTTTCCAAATTCTATCAAAGACCTCTCATTTTCCTATTTTTAAGTATAACCATAATTTTTGTAATTTTCTAAACTTGTTATTATCAAAAGTGACTTTTAATCCACATCCTTCTATTCTTTCATACTCTTATATATTTATATTATTACTTTTTATTTCTTCAATTTCTTTAATCAGATCCTAATTCATCCTTTGTTTCACTTATATATACTTTTTAATTATAATATTTTTCAATATCTGATATTTCACTTAATTTATCTTTTATTTCTAAGTATCCTTTTTGTAATATTATAACTTTCTTTTTATCACAATTAGGGTTTATATGACATATTTTTTCACAATTCTAACACTTACATTGGCTTTTATTTTTCTTTTTGTTCTTCTGTTGATTATATGAGTTATTTTTTCTTTTATAATACCTTCTTTTAGGTTTTTTTTTTAATTAAAATTTCTAAATTTTTTAAATTTCTTATTTTTTTTTTATTAATTCTTATTTTAGGATTACATCCCCATTGCACAAGGGTTTTCATATCTTCACAACATATTTTAGTTAATTTTTCTGATTTTTTCATTAATTGTCTTTGTTAACATATATATGCAACTCTTTCAAATAAAAATTTTATTCTTGAACCTAAAGTCCTAGATATTTCAGTATTATCTCTAACATATTTTTCGAATTCTATTTTAAAATATATTCCCCATGAACCTG